GGAGAAGAGAAGGCTGCGTGGAGACCTCATAGCAGCCTTCCAGTATCTGAAGGGGGCCTATAGGGATGCTGGGGAGGGACTCTTCATTAGGGACTGTAGTGACAGGACAAGGGGTAACGGGTTAAAATTTAAACAGGGGAAGTTTAGATTGGATATAAGAAGGAAATTCTTTCCTGTTAGGGTGGTGAGGCACTGGAATGGGTTGCCCAGGGAGGTTGTGAATGCTCCATCTGTGGCAGTGTTCAAGGCCAGGTTGGATGAGGCCTTGGGTGATATGATTTAGAGTAAGTTGTCCCTGCCCATGGCAGGGGGGTTGGAACTAGATGATCTTAAAGTCCTTTCCAACCCTAGCGATTCTATGATTCTATGTGCACTCTGGCCTAGGAAGAGAGGTAGGTAGGAGACATGAAGGGTATATAATACTTAGAGATAGGGAGAAACCTGGAGTGCACACACAGCCCATGTGTTTAGACTGGAAAGTGGATTTGTCTGGCTTCTCACCCTGTACATGGACTCCTCTAACCTGGAGAAATATGCTGCATGGCAGCTCATGGGACTGGCCTGCCTATCTGGATCTGTAGGTACATTAGCAGAGAAGGAAGAAATTCAAAGGGGAAGAAAAATACTTTCTTCTTCAATGTGCATCTTGTGGCTTTGCAGGTTTTTCCACTGAGAATATTCCTCTGATGTTTCCTTAGTGACTAAGACAAAACTGGCCAAAGAGGTACTTGGTTCACAGCCCCAGAAAAAAAAAACACTGTTATGTTTTTCTCTCCATCATTATCAGTTCCCTGTGGTACCCACCCAGAACCTTCCCTCATTGACCCTTGCCTGTCCCTTGCCACATCATCCCTTGGACAAGTTCTTTCCTTCTCCCCGACCAGCCTCTGGCTCTTGCCTGCCCTCCTCTTTCACGGTCCTGCAAACCACTTCCCCAGTTGCATCCTTCAGACAATATTTCCTCCTCCTATGTCAACCTCCCCACCTCTTTGCCAGCCCATGGGCTGCTGTTAGTGGTACTGAGGGAAAGCCATCCTGAGCAGAGGTGCAGAGTGACTAAGCCCTGTTGTCTCCCCACCTGTAAGAAAGGGTTTGCTTCTACTATTGCTGCCTGATTTATTGGCTCAGCTTCCTTCCAGATGAACAGAGGTGTTAGGCAGCTGTGCCCTTCCTCCTTTTATTATAAGGAGGACATTTCCTACCGTATCTTACACTAAATTTTCACCATTTCCTCCCCCACCTAGGACCCAGCCCTCACATCTAAGGAAAATACACTTTATGCCACCACAACAGTTCAGGAGGATAAACCACAAAAATATTAGCCCCTTGCTGAACCTCCAGGTCTTTGTAATATTCTGCTTTTGAAGGCATTCAAATCCTTTCTCACCAAGGAAGAATATAAAGTTGCATCTTCCACAGCACAACCCAGTTCCCTCTTCCCTGTGGTAAAGATGGCAGCTCTCACAAGCATCTGCAGCCTTGCTTTGCTGTCAGGCAGGCTCAGCTGCTCTCTTGGCTATTTTGAATGTCCCTTGAGTTCAGGCACTGCTGCAAAGCAGGGGCTCTCACACCATGGTACCTATGTAATACTGAAGGGAATAGGAACCCCTCATGCTTCCCTCTGTCAGTCAGTCTCCAGCACTTCCTCCCAGAAAACCAACCCAGCCTCTCTGGCCAGCTCAAAACATCTGGGCCAAGTACATCACAAATTCAAGTCAGAGGGATAACACAAGAGGGACAAAACCCAAACCAGAACAACAAACAAGAGGTTGCCCCTTCATAACATTATGCCTCTGGTTTCTACCTTGGATGCTCCCCCACAGTGGCTAAGCCCACCAAAGCTGCATTGCAGAAGCCCTGGAGCACAGGAATTCATGCAGACCCCCTGGCTCTACCACCACTGTTGTCTGTGCCCAGGGCATCCTGAGCATAGCACTCCAGGGCTGCCTGTGCTATGCAAGTCCCAGAGAGTATGGCAGAGCAGCTGAAGAAGGAGGAGGCTTTTCCTGTGGCTGCTTTGTGGCTCCCAAGGTTGTTGGTTAGGTGCAGAGCTCTGGAAGGCACAGAGGGAATGAAACTCCCCAATGTACATAATGAAGCTCCTGAAAAGCTGTCCCTATAATTATCTGTGTACACAGCAAATACGGTCAACGGGGACATTGCTCTTGGTCCCAAGCTTGTTTGCATAACCAGAGCTTCATTCATGTCCTGTTTTTTTCCCTCTAGCACTGAGGAAGAGTCACGTCGCTGTGCCCAATTCCTGCAGCTATTGTGTCCACAGAGGACCAAGACAAGAATCTCAGATGCCCATGGACCAGGCCGGTTCCCCCACACTGTTTGGTCTGGACCACTGAAGGTACGTGATACTGGAAACATTTACAATGTCAAGGCTTCTCACAGATGTCTCTGCAGAAGACCTTCCCACTTCACCTTACTACAGAGAAAGCAGTACAACCCTTCCTAGCAAGAAACAAGCTACAGCCATAAAAAAAGAGCAATTTTCCCATTTAGGGAAAGCAGAGCATTTGCTAGCAGACACTACCCTGTGTGTTCTAGGACTGGTATAAACCCAGGAGTTCAAAACCATCACGTACCACTGACATGGGATGTTGGAAGGAGTTTGCTCTGCCTGAGTTCTGGGCCAGTATGAGATGAGCCATGTCTGATCCTCAATGCTGTAGTGTGTGACAGAGTCTGGGATGAGACCCTGTGGCTCCCCAGTGTTTCAGAGTGGCTGAGCCCTGTGCTCACACTTTTACACAGCCATATGGTCAGAGACAACAGATCTTCCCATTACAATGACCTTTGCACAGGCACACACAGGCCTGGGAAGCCTCATGCATTACACAGGGAACTCCACTGCCAAAGTTTAGACTTCATTCATGCTCTTCTAGTCCAGCACTACAACTTCAGCCCATACCCTGGGGCTCAGACACCAGCCAAAAGCAGCAAGACATTCTGACACTTCGGACTTTGCCCTCCTATCCTCAGCATCTTTCCTGTACTTCTGCAGACTTTCTTCAACGCACAAAAGCCACAGGAGCATCCAGCAAGTTAGAGGCATATATATTACCACAAGACACACACCCATCCAAGAGGTCATCTGGTGCAGACAGTTCTCTTCCCTGGCCCTACTGATGGTGAGGGCCTACTTTGGTATGCTCAACAACAGCATCTCCTGAGGAAACTCATCAAGCGGTAGAGAAGCTGCAGTGCAGCCACATGATGCTACCAGGCAAGGCCCCACATGCCAAGGAGTGCCACTGAGCAGCAGTCTTCACTTGCCACTCCAAGACTAGCATGCAAATCCAGGGCACCAAACACAGCAGCAGGTATGTGACCACCCTGTATAGCCTTGTGCTTCAAAGAAAAAGACACTTAAAAGGCCTGCAGAAATGGCTCACTCCAGCTGTCACATGAACACTACACCCATGGACCAAACCTTATGGCCTTGTAGGCTCCAGCTGATGATGGTGACACATCCTCTTCTGGGACTACATGCTAGTGGCACAAAGTCACTGTGAAATGGTTGCTCAGAAGAAAGGACACCAAAGCAAAACAATTTTATGGGCTGAGGACTGGTGCCTCCACTTTTACCAGCCCAAAGAAATAAATATGCAGAGCATAATGCCTCAAACTCATGTCTCTCTTGACATCTTCAGTGTTACTATCCAGCTGTGGCCATGTTCTCAGAGGCCACATACAAACCAGAGGTTAGGGAGCTCCCAGCTGTGACAACAGGAAAATTGAATAGAGGTGGTTTGCCTCATCTCCTCGCTGTTCTGCTCTTTTCTGAACTGCCTCATTTAGGAAACAATTCTTGCCTATTTGTTGACCATGGAGCTTCTAAGACCCCATATTGCCCACCACCTTGCCTCTTAGGGGATAGCTCCCTGGGCAGGGAAACAGTTGCCCAGCCTTGCCAACAAAAGGTGCAATCCTGTATACTGTTTTGGTCACACCACTCTTCCTTGGAAATGTGCAACAATTTTGATTCCCCATACCAACTGTTGCAGCATTGGATTTGCTTTAGGTAAGCAGAGTAGAAGGGACAGTAGAGCACTGAAGGAGCTGACTCCAGCTGCAAGGAAGACAGAGCCTTAGGTTGATGGAAGGCATCAGCTTGACTCTCATGGATGAAGCAAGAGCTAACGCAGGGCTGGCACCTGCCTCTCTATTGTACTGAGAGCCTTCCTGCTATGGCCCTCATCATGGTGGCTGCCACTTACTTTGCGTCCTTTCCAGCTCCTGACTTCTCCCTCTGTGGTGGGGAGCTGTTTGTCTCATTCGCAAGAACAACTTTCTATTCCCAGTTATTCCCCTTGGGCCAATCCCTGAGAAAGCGCCAAGTGAGGTTTCTCAGCTTTACTCCTCTTAGGCTCCCTGTCCCAAGCCAAGTCTCTCAAGCCCTAAGAGACAATGCAGTCACTGTTTGACAGAAGCATCCATGCTTCATGCCAAAGGATGCTCAGCCAAGTATGAGGCAAGTCTACTGCATGAATCTAGTACAGCAGCACATGGATGGCTGATACACCTCGTCTGCAAAGTCCCCATACCCTGTATGCCAGCACTGGGACCTCTGAGGGATGTCTGAGGTCAATACACAGACATTAGCCTTCCTCTCTAATGTGATGTGGAGATATCCCCTATCTTGCAATGCAACTTCCTACTGCCCTTCTGCCACAGCTCGCATTCCTCTTAGCCTCAATCTGCATCTTAGTCTCATTCATTTTTGCTGCACCAGCTCAGACCTGCTGTACCCAGTGCTGTTCTGATCCCAAACCTTCACAGAAATCTCTCATCTTGCTGAAAATATCTGTTGATGATGGGTACAGTTCCATGGGGAATGATTCTTAGCAACCAATCTGACTGGTTAGGCATTGCAAGCCTGGTGAAATTCAGAGAAAGGAGATTTTTGAGCTTACTCACTCAGAAATGCACAGGCTTTGTCCTCAGGTGAAAGACATGCGGAGTAGAAAGTCACATATTTGCATAAAAAATCAGGCTATTCACTTTCTGTTTTATTTAGTAAAATAAATGGAAAAGTTCATGTGATATCAAGCAACCAATCTATTCCCAGTGTCAGGAGAGGCTGACAGTGGAACTCAGCATGGCACCGAGAGAAAAGAGAATGAGGGAAACATCTCTGGGAACTATATTCTTCATTTCTGATATTGCCACTTTGCTGTGTCACAGAGCTGTCATGGAAGGATACAGTGTAGGGTAATACCAGAACTACTGGAGTACTGAGAAAATGAGAGCTGGAGACAGCAAATGAGAAGGGAGAAGAGATTCCTAGAAAGGACAGACAGCATATATGTACATGGCATGGAGATGGGAATCCATGACTGACGTGGTCCCATAATCCTGCCATCCCAGGAATTCCTAAGCTGTGGGGCTCAGTGAACTCTTCATATGCCAGAAACAGACTCTGGGAACAGTCATCCTGATGGCTGAGAAAGAATCATAGTTCCTCATTGGGAGCCTTCTCCTCAGGTTCATCTTCACCCTAAAACACATTAGAGGCATGAAATCAGTTTTGATGCTGCTCATTTCTTCAGAATAATGATAAAAGGAAACAAACCAGCTTAAATGCCTCTCCTGTCTATGCCACTGCCCTGAATATCCCATTTCAATTGCAGAACACAAGGTACTGACACACAAAGCCTCTGTGCTATAGGAAGATGAGCCTTGACAGAGAGAGAGCTCTTAACACTGAATGAACATGGAGATTAAATTGTCCTTTTACCAGCAGAGACCTCTGTTAGAGTTCTGAGCCTTCGTCTGCATACTCTGTTCTGTGGCCTTCTTGATAGATATCCTTCCTCTCCATGCCACTCTCTCTGACCCTCTCATGTGCTGCCTTCCTAGTGTCCAAAAGCACCCTTCATTCTGCCTCCCAGCTGCTGTCCCCAGAAAATAGATGCTTCACTCACACCTTCATACAGTTGCAGAGGTCAGTGAAGTCCTCTTGCTGCAGACTAGAAGGCAGAAATCAATGAATAAAGAAGCTCTGCAAAAACATCCATTTCTGCTTTCCTCTAGATTGAACGTTTTTCTGATATCCAGGTGAAAGGAAAATGAAAGAGGAGGAGGCAGGGCTGGGGAGGAGTTCAAGGAACTGAAGAGAGCCTTGTGAGCAACAGCATTGTCCTACAAGATCCCAGATTTCTGTAGACTGTACTGAAGTTCCCCTTTACCTTCTCCATTCTTTCGATGAAACCATTACAGAAGTCCTGTACACGCTCAATGGAGACTTCATCCAGAGTTAAGACATCCTGCTCTTCATCTGGTGCGTTGAATATAGCCAGAGCTGGCAGCTGGGACTTCTTCAGTTTGAAGAATGACACTGTTCGTTCATTGCTTTTCAAATTAATGTCTACCAGGATAAAGAGAATCTGTGATGGAAACAGGAGAGGAAACGTAAGCAAAAAGGAAACTGAGAGAGAGACAACAGCTCCCCAGACTGTGATCATACGAAGATTAACAGCAATGTTTTTAGAGTTAGAGAAAGCCTACTATACTCATTTAGGGCACCGCTTTCTTCTGCCACTATATAACTGCTCCACACAGTGCATTTTTCTGTATTTTATCCAGTCCAGTCTTACATTACCAAATAAAATGTCTTCTTTCACCTTCTTTAAAAATATATCTACACTATGGCAAGAAGGCAGTTTCCACTCCGATTCTCTTAGTAGCTGAGGAAACAAATGTCTTTTATCTTAGTGGCACATGCAAAGGAAGCTGACTCCTCTCCTTGCATGATATTTGGATAAGATCACATCCATGGAAGACCCACAGTGTCAGAGTAAAAAGGTGTTTTGGTGTGTAAAAATCAAACTCAATTGCAAGAATGTGGGAGTGAAGTATAGGCCAGCAGGAGCCTGCAAGGATAAGAACATGAGAGAGCCAAACACAAACATTTAAGTGAGCTGCAGTGAATAGAAATGAAGATGCAATCATCTAGGAAACGAGTTGGTGGCAAGACACCAATGTCCACACAGCCCAGCTCAGTGGAGGGTTGTTCAGACCTGAGGAGAGGAGCCCAACAATGACTAAGCCAAGATAAGAACAACATACATTTTTCTGGGCTCATGAATAGTCCTGGAGAGCAAGATCAAGCTAATTGTTAGGATTCTGACATATGATTCACTGGAACAGGTTTCCCAGAGAAGCTGTGGCTGCCCCATCCCTGGCAGTGTACAAGGACAGACTGGACAAGGCTTGGAGAAACCTGGTCTAGTGGAAGGTATTCCTTCCCATGGCAGGGGGGCTGGAACTGGATGAGCTTTAAGGTCCCTTCCAACCCAAACAATTCATGATTCCACGATTCAATAGTATAGATTTAGCAGAAATGGTGAGCAGCTCCATGGTTTTATTTTAAGAATAACTTTCATCTGAGATCTTACAAGTGCAGTAGGAATTGGTATAAACTTAAATGGTTTAAATCTGAAAGAGTAACAATAAAATATACAGATATCTTAAAGATCTTTGTTAAATTATCTGTTAAGGCTACGTGCAAATATTACGTACAAATTTAAAAATAAAAAATACAGCAATTGAAAAATTTAATCAGTGACCTGATTAAATAGATTCCCTTGGCTGCTGACATCCAAGTCAATGAAACGAACATCCAGCTATCATGCACCATTTTATCTTATCTTTATCCTGTGCAACCTACTGGGCCTAGCATATTCAATATACCTATGGACATGGATATGACTTAACTTACACAAAAGCTAAAATGAGTTTAAAAAAAAGGAAAGTAATGCAATGTGAAGACAATGTGTCTGGTTCCCAGGCTGTGACTCATGTTTTTCTTTCTTTTAGATCAAGAACAAGCAAGTTAGTTCAAAACTTTTTTCTTCTCTAAAAAAAAAACTTGGTAAATCTCAAATTCTTTATTAAATTTGTGCTCTATAAAAAAGACAAATATATCTGGAAACTTTCCTAGGAAACAGCCTATGGGAAGGATGGATAGTTAGGCTAGTGTAAGGTTTAACTCCAGTTAATCACTGCAATACAGAAACAGGAACATTTTTCACTGGATACGTGGTATTTATCACTTGCAATTTCTATTCCAAAAGTCAACTGTGCCCCAAGCAAAACAAGCTAGTGAGCAGACAGGCTGTGGAAACTTCTCCCTAAGAGCTAAATTCATCCTTTTGCAGGATAAAACACTAAATAGATTAACTAGAGAAGGGCCACAAATCTGAAGGTCACAGCTCTAAGCACCCAATATAGGAAACGCTCAGCTGGAGCATCAATATTTATATTTTAGGGCTCTCCTTCCAACTAGCAAGTTGGAAACAGAAGCCAGTGTTGGACAGAAGCATTTTCAGAAGGTTGGTACAGGATAGGTATCACATTTTCACCAGTTCATTCAGAAGCTTTTAACTTTCTGTATGAAAGAGTCACTAGACAGCAACATCTTTTAAAACAAATGCTAAGCAAGAAGCTAAAAAAACCCCACATTTAGAATATTTAGGTTGTTAAATGTCACTTCTTATGCAAAATATCCTCCACGTTTAAAAAGATGGTAATATAAATAAATATCAGTCAATATTCTTCACTTTATCAAGCGTCCAGCCTTTGTTAAAAAGCCACCTGGCATTTTCTCATGAGGAATTTATTTTGTTCAGAGATTCCCAGCCAGCTCCAATCACAAAGAATGAATGCAGTGACCATGGCAAATTGCACTGGCATGAGACAAGAGTTACCTTGCCTAACATCTTACATCCAGATCTTAGTCTTGTATCAGACAGTCATACCTCTGCAGACATTACATAACCTCTGCAACGAACGGTGGCAGGCACATTATCCCACTTATTTTAGAAGAAAAGAAGGACATGTCCTTCTCTATCAGTGCTGAAAGGAGCCTAAAGCCTTTGCTCAGACAACTTACCAAATCTATAATTCACAAAAACATATCTCACTTACAATGCCAACTGTCACATCACTGCTAGAAACCAGGTTGTTCCATCCCAGACAGAAAGTTCATTTTCTATTTCATCCTCCTGTACAATATCTGTGTTTGTTTGTTTCAGTTTGTTGGTTGTTTGTGGTTTTTTTTTTCATTCTGAAATGATTTCTATGAAATTGTTTCATTTTGTAGAAATTTTCTTGCCTGTGTTCAGAAGTCTGCTGCTGCAGGCAAAGGATCACCTGCATGGATGGGGAATTCCTGACACAAATTCTCCCCTCCAACATGATATTACCTGTGCACTGTCACCTGCAAATTTCTCTTTCAGAAAATTTTGTACAGTGGTGCCATCTTGGTGTCTTGACAGTTTGATTCCTGGTTGAGTGCTTTTAGAACATCAAGCTCCTGGTAAATACCAAGATACAGAATGATGTTGTTAACCAAGGAATTAAAGTTAATTGCAAATAGCACTGTAGTGGTAGAAACCAATTTGGTGTTGCTTAGTTTCATCTCTAACAAATATAAACAGGAAGGATGATCCAACCTCATGTCCAGTGTTCGTCTTTGAGCTTCACGAAGCTGTAACCTTCATTCTTTGAGGAGACTGTATAAGCAAAAAGATTAAGCTCTGTAGATTGAGTAACTTCTTACATAGCTTGCATAGTACATCAGAGCAAAATGAAAATATCAGTCATGAATCAAAAAAAAAAGAAAGCTATAAAAACAAGTTTACTGCAGATATCTTTAAATGACATAGACAATCTGAATTTACAGGCTCCCCTGGTTATGGCTAGACAAGACATTTCTAAATATTAACCCTCTCAGTTCTGGAGTTATCAATGACAAGAAAAATCAAAAGTGTATGAATGACTGCCTGAAAAAGAAGGGGCAGCATCCTTTCATTTCCATGAAAGTACTCCTGAAGGGCTCTTGGGAGTTTCTCAGAACCCATTTCTAAATAGGCTTACATATAAAGTAAAAGGGACTTTGCAAACATCTCTATCCAAATAATTTTGACATTGTAAACCAGTTACATTAGTTGCAGCAAAAGTTGCCTTTATTATTCCCAGCATCACCTTATTAAAACTTCTGCAAACATCCATGAGGTATGCCATCTGTAATTGACATGTTATGCTCTGATATTGTGGAAAGAAAACTGAAGATGCTTATGCTAATTTCGCTCAGCAATGCAAACTCTGACATTTTCTTTCCAGCAGAAAGCGTGGACTCTTGGCAGTACTTTCCCAAATACGCACATGTTTGATTGCAGTGGGGTCCTTCCAAGAAGGCTGGTGGATTCACTTCTGCAGCTGTAGCACCCTGAGCTCTGTCTGTTCACTGTTACCCACCCATAATTGTTTCTCAATGTCTGCTAGAAAATATTATATTCTTAATCTTGTCAGCTCTTGATGTCTTAGCATCATATAACCTTTGCATTTTCCTCTCCAGCATTTTACAGACCCCAGGTTCCATGATAAAATCTAAACTGCTTTCAGACACTGCTGCTCGGGGTGAAGTTCAGGCTGTTTTCAAGTAACAGTCCTCACCATAGAGCCTCATGGATCCTCCAGCTGAAAATCTCAGCTTCCTCTCAGGCAAAAATGAAAAGATCATAAACCAGAGACGAAGTGACTATAATCCAGGAACTGGCAGATTAATCATTTCCTCATGCTCTATTAACAGTTGGACTTCATGATCTGAAGGGTCTTTTTCCAACCCAAATGATTCTATTTTCTTTAGTTTTCTTCATTCTTTGGAGCCAGCCACTCAGCAGGAGCAGTTCCACTTCATCTATCCATCAATGCAAGCAAGAAATTTCTCCTCTGCCTCCAGCTAGTGATGACAATGACAAGGATGCCTCTTCCCTTAGAGCAAAGTAGAGATGTGTGAAAGGATCCGTACCCCTTCTCCTGCTTGGGAACCATCTCGAGGCTCTGTTTGTGTTCTTCACTGGCTTGTAAAGAAGTTGCAACACACACCAAGTCTCCCCACTCTGTTCTGGCGCTCTGCAATCACCATAAAGCACTGATGGATGCAGTGGTACATATTCAGAGGGAGCTTGAACACCTCTCCACTGCACAATGATTCCTTGCTTGAACTACTGACAGCACTAACCCTGCAGCACAAACAAGCCTTTCACCACCAGCCCACACCAGGCTGTGAATTATTGCCACCACCAGGCTGTGAATTATTCACTGGTAATTCTGAATAAAATTCAAGTCAAGAATCTTGCATTTATTTGCACATAATCTGTGAGCTGCAAAAAGGCAAAACCTACTCAATACTTTACTTGTTTTGAAGTAAACCTGAGTTAACTTTGTGATCCTGAAAACAGATAACTCCATGTTGTGGTATAAACACAGTCAGCCACGCAGTCTCTCTCTCACACTCCCCCCCCCCCCCCCCCCTTGCCCTCCTCCTCATCCCAGAGGGATGGGGAGGAGAATCAAAAGTATGCAACTCCCACAGGTTGAGATAAGAACAGTTTAGTAACTAAGGTATAACACAAATCACTACTGCTACCACCAATGATAATAATGATAAAGGAAATAACAAGGGAAGAGAATACAACACCTCACCACCCGCCAACCGATAACTCGCCCCACCCCACCGACTGAGCGCTGACCGATACCTCCTCCAACCCTGCAGTCAGCTAGCCCTTCCGGGTAATTCTCAGTTACATCCTGGGCATGACGTGCTGTGGTATGGAATACCTCTTTGGTCAGTTTGGGTTAGGTGTTCTGTCTCTGCTTCCTCTTGGCTTTCCCTCCTCCCTGGCAGAGCATGAGACTCACAAAGTAATTGGTCAGACTAAACATCAGTATTATCAGTACTGTTCTGAGGCCAAAAGTCAAAAACACAGTGCTGCACCAGCTACTAAGAAGGAGGAAAAAAAATGACTGCTACTGCTAAACCCAGGACATTCCATTTAGGAAAATTAGCTAGCAGAGATTTCTGAGGTATGGTTCAGTGGCTGCTTCTGATACCCAAACTAATTCATGTCTTTCTACATGTCAGAGCAAGAGACAAACCTCAGTGGGCATATTGTTCTGCTTACTCCTTACTATCCAGACCTAAGACCCAAACAGAGGGGTCTTAGTTCTCTCTCACTGCTTTGTAAGTGGGCAGCACAAATCACAATTTTCTCTTCAGAGTGGCAGTCCTTTGCGAAAAACACTGTATTAGACTCTAAGTCTTTTCTTCTATATGTTCTTCAGTACCACTGCAGTAGAAATAATAACTCAAATCCCAACATTTTTAATCTCTATTTTTACTGTGGGAAACTTCTAGACTGGGAAACGTGCCTGGATGAATTAAAAAAAAAAAAAAGTTAGATTTGGCTTGCCGGAAATCCAAAATTTATTTGGACTTCAGTACAACATTTTATCCAATGTTTTGTGAAGTATTTCTAGGAAAATTATTCACATTTTCTCAGATCTAAGCATGTCACATGAAGAGAAAGCTAGCTGCAGCTGCACCAGCAAAGGATAGTGATGCTGAACAGTAATGTGTTATGTTGGAAGAGTTAGCTGCTTGGAGGGGGGAGACCTATATCAAACTCTGCTGCTCATGGAGGACAGTGCTAGTGGTGTTACTATAACACACATCTCACATGAGACAGCTGTAATTTTTCAGATAAGCAAGTTTTCTTTTATCACTAAGTATTCATCAAAGCAAAACACTTCTGAAGAGACCTTTTTACTTTGATGCATAGTTTCCAGTGAGTGGGACAGATGGCAAGGTCCAAAGTAGTTTTGCCGTAAACAAGTCTCAAGACTTCAGAGGGCGCACAGCTCCAAGGTGGCCCCTCCATCTGAGGATGATTATATACTTAATATTTAATCTGTGCCTTCAGTACACAAACAGATGCGTGCAGATGTTTATGTTCTCAAACCTTCTCTTTCCAGCTCCACACATCACCCAGGAAGATTCCTTCCACTGCCTCTCAGCTCAGCCCTCCCCCGGCTGTGATCTTCTACCCCCTCCCTTCTAATCTTCTCCCTTGCCCCAGATGCATTCCTTTGCTTGCCAGCTCCTTCCTCTGTACCATGAACACAAATTTCCATGTAATGCAGCTGCTGGAAGAGAATCAGACATGGGATGTTTACTATTTGGAGAGTTTTGTCCACAGTGGGGTGGGAACCAGGCAGAATTTCTCTGAAAGACACCATCTATTCCATGACCCTGGTGTGAGAAACCTGACAAACCTATTTGCAACTCTTTTAAAAATAGTTTTTTCCCCCGGATACAACCAGAAGGCTAAGGGTTAAGAATCACTGTGACATTAGTTGCTATCACAGGTTACTGATATAACACTCCTTGGCATCTTGCAGGCCGTATATACAAAATCATCTCTCATACCAGTGGAATGCAATCATCATCAGACTGAAGTGCAGCAGCTGTTTGTCATCTCCTAATACAAGGGAACAAAACTGGACCAGAAGCAAGGAAGTACATAACGTCCCACTGAGGGAGCAGAGGAGCAAGATACAGAGGATATTTTCCCTACAAGGAGGAAAACTGGCAAAAGGTGAACAGATCCAACACCTCCACTTAATTATCCAACCAATCCTCTTCTACTGCCACTTGGATTTGCCCCCCTAATCCACAGAGAAGGAAGTAATGCCATCCCCATCCACTGAAGTAATCACTGCTCCCCAAATCTCTGTTTGGACTTACCTTTCCCTTGAAGAGCTCTGCTGCCTCCCGATATCTGCGCATTTGCTCAGGGTACTTCGGGGACGTTTTGTCTGTGACCAGGAGAAGGTGAAGCTGGAACGAACTCTGCATCACACCTATCGCTGTCTGCCACCACAGACAGAGAGAGAAACACACAAAGAGACTGAGCACATTCAATCTGCATTGGTTGCAGGACTGAAGGGACATTGGTCCTTGTGTCTCAGCTTAGATTTCTTTGCAAATCAGCCTCCCAAAAAAGAGACCTCTTGAAGCAGGAGGGATCCAATCTGGGTGCTCTGTGGAAGCACTTAACCTCATGACTTTGCTTATTCCCAAGATGAGAGTCTAAAGACCACCAGGGTTCATCACTGGCCTCAGGATAGCCAGTGACTAGGAAAGGGGACATCCTGGGTACAGCAAGCTGAAAACTAGAGGGGCAAGGAAGATGAGAGGGAAGGCCAGCAAACACTGAACATAAGAGTGCCCTGAATGACTGAGATGCAGCACCTGGACAAAATGGGAGCAAGAAAGTGGGAAGGATTTGTAGTGTCAGGGTTGGTGCCTTTCCTTATTTCTTTGGCATTAAGCTGTGTGTAGGATGGGGATGAGTCCAGAGTTTCAGCAACTCCAGGGTATTCCAGAGTGTTCAGGGTTAAAATTGTCTCTGCAGTCTCATAGTGGGAGACCTGGAGCCAGCTGTTCTTCAACCCCTGGGTAAGGGCCAAGTGGGCAGAATACAGTGGCCCTCTGTGAAGGAGACAGTGCTGGCACTGCCCAAGAAGGAGCTGCACCATCTTCAGGCACTCACTCACTCTTTTGCTCCTCCTTCTGCCCGCTTCCTGCAGCCCTGCAGCCTCTCCCTCAAACTAAACAGCAGCCAGACCAGAGCTGCTGCCTCCCCCGTGCCACTGAAACCACAGAAGTGCAAACTGTGCAGCTCCCTGCCAGCAGGAGAAAAGAATTTCCACAAGTCCAGGAGTAATAAGGAAGAGGTCAGGGAGTGCACACTGGCAAGGGCCATGAATCACAAAGTATCTGGTTGTTGAGAGCCAGGACTCTGCCATTAGTCTCATATTTATGAGGCATTTTGTATCCCTTCACTTCTCTGGTGGTGTGCAGATGGGGAAGGGGAGAGTAGAGGGGATGCAAAAGAAGGCTGGAGGGCATTAGACCTCATGGGAGAGGACGGGGCTGAAGGTGAGGGTGAAGCCACCCAGCACCAAGGGTCATGACAAGTCTGGGCTGAGAGAGAGCAGGGCTGAAGCAGCAGTTCCTCCTGCAGCTCCACACGCGGGTGCGGCTATCCACAGAACCTTGTGCAGTAGCGATCAGCAGAGCTCATCAACATAGCTGGGTCACATCTGACTCTCCTGGAAAGCCCACAGGGTAAGCGTTGCCTGAAAATGCTTGAAGTATGTGGGGGAAACAGCAAGGGCCCCAGGATGGGAGAGAAACTCTTGGCAGGACTCAGTGTGATCCACATGACCCCAGCCTCTGCTGCCCAGCAGCATTCATAGATGTAAACAGCATATGCACTGGGAATAAATATTTACCAAAAAACAAGCTAAGTTAGCAGAGCTGGGAGGGCTTTGGACTGGAGACTGCAGGAGGCACTGTCAACTCCAGCACCTTGATAGGACTCCAGAGCATCTGGAAAAAAAAATGGAACGTGTACTGCCAGTCAGGGTGGAGGGGACCAGCTGAACAGCTCAGCTCTTCTCTGTCAAGGGAGACAGCCTGGGCGCTGAATAGGATGCCACAGAGCAAGACCCCAGAGCATCAGCAGAGACGCGTGAAGAAAGAGTCATGATCTAATTAATTGCTAAGAGATGCAGTAAAGGTCCCAGGGTTCAAAAGGCCTGGGCAATTATAAAGATAACAAGTAACAAGACCATCACTTCTGACTTGAGTGTTCATGGCAAGGACAGTGGGACAGGATAAGGCTTTTCTGTCCTCCAAAATACTCTGTACTTTTAAAATTAACTTTTCACCTTATTCATCAAGATGAAAAAGCAGCCACTTTTTTTTTTTTTCTTGAGAAAACAATAGAACTTCTCAAGTATTTTAATGTGGAAACAAACTGTTGCATTTCCAAAATAAAATGTTCTCTCTACTGGCAGGCTGCACCTGGACTAGGGAATTTGTCAGCCTCTTAGCTGAACCTTGACTTCAACTTGAAAAGATTGGCTTTGAAACAGGCTGGCCCATTCTCCTTTCTGTAAATTGAGCCAGATCAACACTGTTGCAGCTATCCAGAAGTCTGCAACAGAACCCATCAGTGATGACAAAGTCTCTGCCTTGCGGCCACTGGGACTTCTAAAACCTATTGAATTCACAGCAGTGCAACCAGTGAACTGCTGAGATTTCAGAGGAGCCTAAATCCTTTGTCACTCTCTATAGCAGACAAGAGCACTGGCATCCTGCCACTGCCAGTCAGATGGGTGAGCTAATGAAGATGTCCAACATGAAAACATCCTATGTCTGACTTTTTTGTTGTTGAATTGATGAATTCTGAAGTAAGGGATGGAGGGAATGGGAAAAATTTTGCTTGGGACATTTCCAACCAACTCTTGAATATGCCTTCAAATAGCCAGGTTTACATCAAGCCATGTGCACTGCTGGGCCATGAAGAATTCTGCCTTCTGGCAGTAGGTCAGTCAAGTTTCCATGTTTCTCTTCTGAGAAAAAGAGAGGAGATCTGGCTGAGAAGACTCTTCAGGCATGGCACAACACGGCAAATACCATGCTGGGAGGAAGCAGCACTGTTAAGGAGTGGCAAGAAATGGAGCTCTCAGCCCACCAACACCCCAAAATTCATAGAATCATAGAATAGTTAGGGTTGGAAAGGACCTTAAGATCATCAAGTTCCAACCCCCTGCCATGGGCAGGGACACCTCACACTAAACCATATCACTCAAGGCCTCGTCCAACCTGGTCTTGAACACTGCCATGGATGGAGCATTCACAACCTCCCTGGGCAATCTATTCCAGTGCTTCACCACCCTAACAGGAAAGAATTTCCTTCTTATGTTCAACCTAAACTTCCCCTGTTTAAGTTTTAACCCGTTACCCCTTGTCCTATCAGTACAGTCCCTAATGAAGAGTCCCTCCCCAGCATCCCTATAGGCCCCCTTCAGATACTGGAAGGCTGCTATGAGGTCTCCACGCAGCCTTCTCTTCTCCAGGCTGAACAGCCCCAACTTCCTCAGCCTGTCTTCATACAGGAGGTGCTCCAGTCCCCTGATCATCCTCATGGCCCTTCTCTGGACTTGTTCCAACAGTTCCATGTCCTTTTTTATGTTGAGGACACCAGAACTGCACACAACACAAAAAGTGAGGTCTCACGAGAGCAGAGTAGAGGGGCAGGATCACCTCCTTTGACCTGCTGGTCACGCTCCTTTTGATGCAGCCCAGGATATGGTTGGCTTTCTGGGCTGCAAGCGCACACTTCCTGCTCATATTCATTTCCTCATCAACCAACACCCCCAAGTCTTTCTCCGCAGGGCTGCTCTGAATCTCTTCTCTGCCTAACCTGTAGCTGTGCCTGGAATTGCTCTGACCGAGGTGTAGGATCTTGCACTTGGCATAGTTAAACTTCATGAAGTTGGCATCAGCTCACCTCACAAGCATGTCGAGGTCCCTCTGGATGGCATTCCTTCCCTCCAGCGTTATCAACCGAACCATGCAACTGTAATTACCAAATTACTGGAAAGCGAAATGAACCACCATGTCTCCCTTCCTCTCCCCATCCCACTTGCATGCCCCAGTACAGCATTTGCTTACTGTCCCTATACGGAGTTGCAGCAGAACTGTGTGTTCCTCCATCCACACCATTGCCACAACCCTCACACGTCTGGGTATGCAAACCCTTGGACCAGAGGATGTCCCTGAGGAGGAGGCCAAGTGACAAGGTGAGGGCTGCGGGGAGCTTGTAATTACCATAGGGGTGTACTCTGTCACCAGGCGAAGCTCATTGATTCGAATGAAACGAGTCATCTTCTCAGCATCAATATCATTGTTGTTCATATCCAGATCCCTCCGCTGATTGTCTACCTGAAGACACACAAAGACACCAACAGTCACAGCTGTCCTCTGCTCCTATCGCCCCCTCCAGAGACACTGTTGGCATTCACTCACGGAGGCATCCACTCCCTGGGACACCACTGTCCTCTCTCTGCCACCACATAATCCCCACTTCTGAAAGTCCAGCACCTACAGAGACCAGCCTGCACCTCTAGATAAGGGTCTTCCACCCTCTTTCAGTGTCCTTCAGACAAGGCAAACTCATGGCATTACAGAGATCACCAATGACTCTAGACATCCCTACAGTATCCTCTCCTGATGCACTGGAGACAGGGAGGATTAGCTGATACACTATTCAAGGTGTTGTGGGGTGAGATCACAAAATAGCCTAACTCCTAGCATCAATTTTGGCTTTACATCCCTTTTCAAAGTCTTCATCTGCTTATTCTATTTCTTCTGCAAGTAATAAACATTAGCGTGGGCCTGTATGGATTTCCTGGAAACATTGTGAAAGCAGGAAATCTCTCCAATAAAAAGAGGATTTTTTTTTTTCCAGTACAGCAGAAAAAAAAAAAAAAAGGAAAAGAAAAATATCCAGCCCCGCACATTTTGGTTTTAGATGAAAATCCACGCTGCCACATATCTCCCCACACTCCCTCCCTCCCCCCAAATGATGTGATTTTATTGAGGTCTTGGTGAACCTGTAAACGGAAGAAAAAAAAAGCAGTCAACCACTGAATGTTAGCTAAACCACCTGAAGGGGCAGAGTTGCCTTGCAGCATATGCAGGACACGACTGAGTTGAGCCATGGGGATGCTGGGCTCTAACATGTAACAGGATCAAAGTTTGGTATTTGAAGGCCTTCAATACATGTGTTGAATGAGGTTCTCGGGGCTGAGGAAAAGTCCACATGCATAGCCCATAGTTTACTCTCTGCATCTGTAACAACCTCTCAAAGTGCTTGTGTTAGTTTTTCCAGCAGTGTGCATTTAAAGCCCTTTTTGGTGTTCTGTGGTCATTCAAAAGGTCTTTGATCTAGTAGGGAGCCACAGCACCCTGTCTGGCAACTCAAACTAGTGCTTTTCAGACTGCACAGCCTCATTCCTCTTGTAGATTTTCCTCCTCCATAAAATGAAAGGGCAGCTCTACTCAAGTAAATGAGATCAGGCCAATGTGACACCTTGGTGGGTGAGAACAGACAGGCCTTGGGAACCAATCTAAAGCACTCCAGACTCCACAGAAAGTCTTCTCTTGACTTTCATGGGCTTCTTAAAACATCTGATTTCCATTTAGGGATAATAACTTCTTAAATCTGCAGTCAACATTCATGGTCTTAAGGAAATAAGGCTGGGAAATAGCCTGCATCTAATAGTTGAAGATCAGTCAAAATGTCTTTATCACTCCATATAACTAGCTTGCTCACATCTGTTAATTACGTTCTTTATAGGTCTACCAAGCCAGATTCCTCACTAGAACAAATTAATTTCCCTTCACCATATACAAAAAAGTGTCACCAGTTGACACTAGCCCATCCTACTACTGTAATTACAGTTTAAACTTCTAAGCAAAAGCAAAGAAAAAATGAGTTTATGCTTCTGATTCACTGCTGTCCTGGTCACACATCTTCAAATCAGTATTTGAGTCAAAGTTCCTGTCTCAGCTCTTTTTTTCTTTTCCTTTTTCTCTTTGATCCTTTACTCCTACATGGTATTCAGCACAGAATAAAAGGAAAAATATCTGAATACCTTAATTTAAAAAAAACCTGACAATTAGATAAGTGAGTTGTCAACCACATTTAAACCTGACTAGTGCATTAGCTTCCTGCTTGGTTTTTGTTTTGTTTTGTTGGGATTTTTTTTTCCTTATTAAACAAGATTTCAGCTGCAAAAACTGGACCGTGAGCAAAGAATATTCAATATAATCCAAATTCTAACGATCCAGACATTTTCTTTTATCAAACACCCTCCCAATGCAGTCATCCTCACTATCTGCCACAGTGAAAAACAAAGGAACTTTTCAGTATTTTTGGAAGAAAATCAGCATGACTAAGAAACAAAACTGAGATGGGTGTCGCTTCAAATTGCAACGCCTGCACATAGCAAATAAAAGGTTAAATAAAAGGACCTGCCTACCTATTGCTCACTCTTGGATCATCCTTTCTGAATTATTTGGATAATGACAGTGGTAAACATAGTGCAGGAAACTATGAGAAAGGAAGGGGAACAAACTGGCTTTGTCCAATCTTTGACCAGCCTGCATCTAGGACTTGGCCAAGCTGTCACATTTAGTTTCCCTGTTACACATAGTGTGTCTTCATTGCACTCCCCTTCCCAGGTTGTGCTTAGAGCTCTGCTGACACAACAGACTTCACTGGCTTTCAGGACATCTTGTGCTGCCTACAGCTGCTCTTCTAAGATACATCTCTCTTTCCAGTATTCTAGTACCACACTTGTGTGAGAAGGGGCCACACTAGGACATGGATATAATCGGCAGAATACTCGCTCTTAGCTTTTTTTGGTACTCTTGAAGCAAGTATATAGCCCTTCTCAATACCATCTCCTTGAATTTCAGCAAACTTCAAACTTCAGTAGCTTCAAATTCAGTGAGGCACCAGCACTTACTGAATACAACTGTATCCATCCCTAAGAAACTGCAAAGTAACATTTTTAATGGGCCCATGCCCAAAGCCCGTTTAGGGAATAACTGCAAATCATAGTGTAGCAGACAGAAAAAGTGTTTGGGACTTCTTTTGGTGGCAGAGCATTTATAACTGCAGAGACCTGGTCTGGATCTGTTTTCAGTCATGATGGAAAAGTTGTGCACCGATTGAGACAGCCTTGCCTGTCTGAAGTGATGCTTGGTAAGATCTGATGTCATGCCTACTGTGTTGATCCATTGTAACATGGCCTCTAGATGCTCTTTGTGTGCCTCAGGAGCCTTACCAAAACCACGGGAACCCATTCAAGTAAAACTGAGTTCCAGGCAGGTCACTCAGAAACAGAGATGTCATTCTTTACTCTGGGTGCTGGACCAGATCCATAGGGCAAACACTTAAAATGGAGAACCTTATCAGGTGTAATAAATGTTGCATATTTTGGTGATGGGTACTCTGCAAGTGAAAAGCAAAAGGCTTCTTTGGGGCAGGAAGCTCTACAGATGTGTTTTTAGGTGGGCAAGCAGTGACTGTCAATGACAAGCCTTGGCTTTTGGCTTCCTCTAAGGTGACTGCCATGGGCAGGGACACTTTCCACTACACCAGGTTGCTCCAAGCCTTGTCCAGCCTGGCCTTGAAGACTGCCAGGGATTTGGCAGTCACACCTTCTCTGGGCACCTTATGCCAGTGTGTCACCATAGTGAAGAATTCCTTCCTAATGTCTAAGAGATGAGCAGCTTTAAACTTCTCTGTCACTACTGCCTGGGGATTTCACTTCTCTACCGTGACCGCAGGCAGGTCTTTAGCGCTTGTCCTAGAGCCCCTCTCATCAAACCTAGCGGGCAGGGGAACTCCTAAACCGGGGAGGTGATGCTGGGGGATACAGCTTGTTGCACGGCACCCTGTTTCCCGAGGCGGGAGCAGCTCGGGGGCAGCCGCGGCTAGCCCCGTCTGGCTCCCCTGGGTCATCTGGCCACGGCGGCGGCGATACGGTGAGTGCTGTCCCCTGACACGCTGCTCCACGTCCCTCCACGCTACAACGCGGGCTCACGCACCATGCGGAATAACGTGACGGTGTTCGCCTCGACGCCGTAGTGGGACAGAACCGCGGGGCTGGTGCTGAGGCCGAAGGGCACCTCCGGGATCCGGCCGGCCGTCAGGAGAAACTGCGAGGCTTCGGGGCTCTCCGGTTCCTGCGGAGGGAGGAGGGAACGCGTGGAAGGCGGAGCTGGGGAGCGGTGCCCGCCGCCCTCCATGAGGTAGCGCGAGGGTGACACCCAGCGGCCGTCAGGGAGAACCGCCCGGTTCAGCCCACTAGCCGGGAGAGAGAGGAGAAAACCGGGCAGCCGAAGGGAGGAACAGCATCTTTCTCTCCAGTTATCACACTGCCTGCGCTGCAGGGATCCTGCAGAGATCACCCTCCTCCCCTTGCCCCGCCAACCATCGCTCCTCCCCAGAATCAGGGATGTTACAGGCGGCGATGCCCGACGCGCTGTGGGTGTCACAAACACAGCTGGCAGGTGCCACAGCGCTGTGTAAGCCTGGCCTTGCCTTTCTGTGAACCCACACGTCTTATCCACACACTTGCGGGTGACACTGTGATCGTGAGAAGCCCCAGAGGTCTCAAAAGGGAGGGGAGAAAGCCAGAATCTGGATGTAGCATGCTTAAATGTATATACATGTTTGTCATGAAATCATGGAATCAGAGAATCACAGAACGGTTTGGGTTGGAAGCGACCTTAAATCTCATTCAGTTCTAACCCTCCTGTCATAGGCAGCGACACCTACCACTAGACCAGGTTGCTCCAATACCTGTCCAGCCTGGCCTTGAACACTGTCATGGATGGGGCAGCCACAGCTTCTCTGCACAACAGGTTCCAGTGTCTCACCTACCCTATAATGAAGAATTTCTTCGTAACATCTAATCTAAATTTACTCTCTTTCAGCTTAAAGCCATTGCTCTTATCCTGTCCCCACATGTCCTTGTAAAAAAATCCCTCATCTTTCTTGTAGGCACCCTTTAGGTATCAGATACAAATGTATAATTATGCACATACATGTGTGTATAAAATAAATATATAAAAATGCAATTTTTAAGATAACCTTGGATTTAGAGTCAGTGGTTTACAACTTTTGTAAAAACACTATGCATTAGTAGTATCCTGGTTCCTTTCAAAAAGCTGTCTTAGACACATACTTTAAAAAGTAGCCAATGCAAACACATCAAGGGATAAAAACGTGCAATTTCTCAGTAATTTAAGGTCCATTTTCTTTCTTGAGCAAGAGCATTGGCTACAGCCTTAACCCGTATTGAAGCATCCCTTGCTATTCCCATTCCAACCTTTTGAGTAATGTATTTTTGATAACTTTTATTGGATTTAAATTCTCAAGACATAGTCTCTGCTAGAAAATAACTGGTTTTTCTTTTTAGTTTGAACCATCAGTTCAGCTGTTTGTGAGCCCAGAGAGGATGGAAAACAAAATTCTTTCTTATTCAAAAGAAAAACATGTCTCGTGACCTATTTAGAAATGCCAGCACATCGACATGGCTCTGGTGAGAGCACTAAAGCCTGGGGTGTGAATAACTGCACTGAATTTTGGAGCATTCCTGGGAAAGCTGGGGTTTAATCAGGCCAAGTATTGCCCTTTCTTGCAGACACGCAGGGTTTCTGGAGCAGTGTGCTGTTTTTCCATCATGGCATTCTGTTCCCAGTCAGAGAGGCTGTGCTCATTATACAGGAAGCTTGCCGAGCCACGTACTGCAGTGAATTAAAAGGCTGCAGTAGAAAAATAATTTATGGAGAACAGAGAACATGGGCATTATGTGGATGAATATACTCTTAGGCAGAGGGCCAAGACAAGCCCTCATGGCACACATAGGTCTTTATCCACTGTTTAAACGCAGCCCTGTCATGCTTCAGGCACTGGATGACCAACACGTTGCTGCCTGCTGCCTCGTGCTCCTGGCAGCCTGGGCTGCATGGCACCAGCCTCCTGTCTTACTCTGTGGAATGAAATCCTGCACCAACAGAGAGGCCACAGTGGCCCGAAACACCAGTGGTTATGCCCTTGCATAGCTTTGCCCAGCAAGAACCCACAGTCCCTGCTGCTGCTTAGCAGCAGGCTCTGTGCCCCAGGTACAGCCTTGCCACAAGCCCAGTCAGCTGTCCAAGGGGAAGGAGGCATCTCCATACAGTGAGATTCCCTTGCTGGTTTGCAGCACTGCAGCACTGTAAGAGCGAGGAGCTCCAAATGCCTGCAGGCACTGCAGGTGAGGCAGCTGGTGCTCTCTGATCAGTGCTTAGCAAGGCCCCTGGGGCACTAGCCTCCAGCACTCACATGCTTCTTGCTTCATACCATCAGTCCTCACTCTATGGCAGGCTGTAAGATGCCATTGCCCTATACCAAGGCCACGATGCCCTCCCTAGGCTGCCCTCCAGCCCCTGGCATGGGGCAGAAGAAGGAAGGTGCTTTCAGAAGGAGCTGGTTTTGAAAAGCTGAGGTCTTTTCTGACAGAAGCGATGAGGCAGTGTCTGGGCAGCAGAAGCCCAGAGCAGAGCTCAAGGAAAAGGTGCAAAAAGGTGCAATTTGGGCACCTTAAAAGTAATAAGGATCCTGACAAAGAGGTCCCTGTTTTGCACTCTACATAAATATTTTTGTCTTGTTTTCTGAGGAAAAACATTCACGTCATTTTGGGAGCAAGGGACACAGGCCATCACTCACCTTTGAATTCAATTGAACTCACGCACGGAGAGGCAGAGGCCTCAAGGGTATCAACTGGGGAACAAAGCAGCAAGGCAGAGCGACCATGCCTACACTGCCCCCTGGGAGGAGGCTGAAGCTTGAGCTCACTGCTGCACTTCAGAGGGCCTGCACCAGTGCTGCTCCCCAATACCCAGCTTCCTTAGCCCCATGACACAGGCAGTGCCTTGTTTTGTCATTGCTGCCTAAAGCAAACAACTGACATTCCCACACATGCCTTGCCAACACTGCTTCTCTGCCACCCACATTCCCATTTTGCTTCCCCTGCAGTGTTTCTCTTTCTCTAGCTCCAGGGTTCCTATGACCTCCTTCACCTTCCTCCTTTGCTTCATCTCCCTTCCCACACATAGAACAAATTCCCTGCATTCCCTCTGTGGCCTGTCACAGCCCCAGCACCTTTTGGGACAGGAGCTGCCTTTGGAAGGTGTATATGACACTTCCAGCTCCATGCTCTCATCAGGGTGGGACTGAGCTCATAGTTGGTGGAGGGGAGGTACTGTGAACACACCTGGAAGAATCCAATGACTGCTACCTCTGCCCCACTGATGAAGGCTTCAGCATCCTCAACATTGTCCAACAGGACAGGTTTCTCTGCAGTGCTGGCTGTGCCTGGAAAGGAGAGGTCATGATTGGACAGAGGGTACACAAACAGCTCCCCAACATGCATGAAAACATCCCACCCCTTACAGTCTCACCCACACACCTCTCCTGCAAGCTCAACAGAACCCTCCTGGTTAAGAAAGACTCCCCACAGCAGACCTAGCCTTTCCCCAGGCCAGGAGAAATTCTCACTTACTGTGGGATGCAGAGCTGTTGTCTCCAACACACGCTGCTGGAGAGCCCCTGGTGAGCAGGATGATCAAGAGGCACAGGAAGATGGAGGTATTCATGGTGCCAGCTTGCCCTGTCCTCGCCATGGCACTCTGCTCCACTCCTCTCCAGCAAGAGACACGTCAGCTGCTGCAGGGGCCCACAGCCACTCCCTGCGTGGTGGGAAGAGAGCAGCTGGCCCAGGGTGGTGCCTTCAGCTCCAGAGAGAACCTCCTGGCTGGGAGAGAGCCCCTCGCTGCTGCAGAGGCAGCAGCCTTGGAGAGCCTCACCAACACCACCACCGGTGCATCCTCACACACAGTGCTGGATGCTTTGGCTACCCTGTGCCTGTGTGACCAGATGCCCCAGCTGGGTAAGAACATTTCTCCTCACAGAAGGAGCCACTGCACTTCTCCAAGTGCTGGGGCACAGAGGGTGATGCTCCCTTGTGCTTGGCCAACAGGGCAGTCACTGGGACATGTTTTGAAGGAGGCGGGCTATTTTCCTCCTGAAACATGCTCTTAAGCCCTCCTATAATGCATTCTCCACATATACATAACTGAAAAACACACTCTAGAAAAGAATGTGACGCTTATACAGAAAAGAAGAAAGATACTGGTTTTATTCTTGGGACACTGAAGTCTTGTTACAGCATCTAGCTGCATTCCCCCGACTGGTTTTGCCTGCACAAGGATGGATTTTAACAGGGTGGGGCACCAGATACAGACCAGGAGACCATCATGGAAGGTAAGTAACCATTTACGGTGAGTCAGAACACATGGCAAGTATAACTCAGATAGGGATTTTCCAGGGACCAGTCCACCCTGCCAGGTGATCTTGTTTCCTAGAAAAGGCACTTCCGGGACCAGAGTTGGTACAGGAGAGACGGAGGCAGCAGGAGGAAGTACTGGGAGAAAGGGAGGGAGATGCTTTCCAATTTAACCCATTAGGGGTAATGATGGGGTGGTGGTGAAAAAGGGCAGGTTATTTTCAGTGTATCAGAAGCAGCAGCAAAGGCCGCCTGCAGGCCTGTGCATTGACCGAGGCTGGCACAGAGCCCCAGCACCCATGGGAAGGGCTGCCAGGGTTGTGGCTGGCCACAGGGGCAGGAAGGAGCAGCGTGGTGGGCATGGCCCACCTGGAGACTGGTGCAGGAGGCAAGGGGATGGGAAGGGGGAAGGCAAACTGAGTGAACTCATTCTGTCCATTCCTTCTTGATGGACAGGTTCCACTCCCAGGTGAGATGGTCATGCTTGTCATCATCCGTGAAGAAGGATTTGTTGTGATAGGTGCCTCGAGCCAGCATACCCTTGGGAGCCTCCTCAATAGGTGTCAGGAACTCGTACTCCTCTGGCCGTGGCCCGTAGCTGCCAACCATGAATGTGGCTTTGTCCACTAGGAGAAAATAATCCACAGGGTATGAGTCCCACAGGTGGAGAATGATCAAGGAGCATGGGCACAAATCACAGACAGAAAGGGGATAGTGGGGAGAAAAAGGGACAGTCCATGTCAGCAAGGGGAAAGAATCAGTGGGAAAAGTTAGTGAAGCATAAGGACAGCTGGAAAGATAAACGGATGGGCAGAAGGACAAGCAACTCAGTCAGTACTGTCTCATATGTATGTTCTGCTGGAAGGGAGTGGGTACACCCAGTGTATGGCTCAAGATCTCTCTTGATCCCCTGCTACTCTATTTTCTTGTGAGAAGACACCACTTGCGTGTGCTGGAGCCTTAGAGGTGGCTGCATGCAGAAATGCACATGGGGGATGTGTGTATGCAAAATGGGGCTCTCCTCTGCCTCACCCAGGCAGGGCAGCACTGCACAAAGAGGAGTGCTTTTTGGGGCAAACACAGGGCTCTGCACACAGCAGGAAGTTCCATAGAGCAGTTCTGAATTTTACCAAGTGCATTTGGAAGAGCTTTCAGGGGGTGACAAGCTCCACATATGCTGAGCCGCTCTAAAGGGAGGAGTGGAGGTGAAGAGCTCTGTATAGAGAGGAAATCTGTGGCAAGCACTGTCTAACCAGTGTCTCTGAGGACTGCTGCTGCAGACGGTGGTGTAGCATATAGATACCAGAGCTCACTCATACTGAGTTCGCACAGGAACAGGAAGCAGTTGGCCTGGGTGATTCAGGGTGCAGGCTAAGGCACTCTGCTGAGAAGCCTTGCCTCCTACATGGTGGCACAGGGTGGGCCTTGGGACCAGGGGAGACCCTGTCCTCATCCAGAGATGCTGGCACACTTCTTTAAGCAGAGGGAACACAGAGGTAGAAGCACTGATGTGCAAGGCAAAGAGCCCTTACCCTTCACCCCTGTCCGGTAGGTGTGCTGCACGTATTTCAGTCCCGACACAATGTCCCTGTTTACCTGCAAGAAGTGACCAGAAAGAAGTGTCAGGGGAGGGGGGTTGATTTAATAGCTGCTGGTTTTCCCTCTCCTTGGAGACATACCCATCTTGGCTTCCTACACCACTGCTCTCAAAGGTTCAGCACAAGGCACATTGTGAGGACTTCTCCATAGGCACCTGGAGACCTGCAGCATCCTCTGTGCATTTCCTGCACTTCTCCATCCTTTCGCCTGACTTTGAAGCTGACTGAAGCACATCAGCCAGCTTCACAAGACGGGCTGATGAGGACAAAGAAAAGCGAAGCAGGGAATTCCTGGTTAACAATTTCCGTGTTGAAAACCAGACAGGTATGACTAGGGTTATCCATGTAGCACAAACTGGGGGGCAAGGTTAACTGAACACTCCCAGCTACTCTCTAAGCTCTGTGGAGAGCTGGCAAGTTTCTCCTCAAAAGACAGAGGGGCACAGTTTTCTTCATAGCTTTTCCTCAGACCTCCTATGGATAGCTTGAATGTATCCCTTGCTGTCCACCTCCAGCATACATCAGCTCCCCACAGCACTACTCAATCTGGAAACAAGATGGGCAGATCCTTTTAAATCCCAGGAGATAATTCACATGGTGCCAGCTCTTACCAGCCTTAGGACTGAGGGAGGGAGTTAGAATAACTTGTCTGGCTCCAGGCATCTCCTGTCAACAGCCTTCAGATACAGATGGAAATATTTCATAGCACAAAGGAGAGTTGGAGGTGTCTCTGGACACAAATTAATCTCTGAAAAAGCAAGCTTCAGAGAAGAAGGGAAATCTTTCCTACAGAATGAAACACATTAACACTTTCCCTTGTCCATTTCAGGAGAGCTATCTTCCTTCCCTTTTTGCCTTCTCTGCCAAGCTCAGCTTTGTCTGCAGCAAACATTTGTTGGGGATGACCACTTCATTGTTGGGGATGACCACTTCAGCACTGGATGCCATGCTGGAGTGTGGCCAAGTTTCATTTTCAGCTGGAAGCAGAAGAAATGGCTGACACACTGGTTAGCGGGAGAGGGGAAGAAAGGAGCCCCTTTGGATATATCGTGACCCACAAGAACTCAGGCAACTTCAGCCAAATGCTATGGTATTAAATCTTTTTTATGTATTCAGCCTTCCAGTTCCTAAAGGAGGGCTACAAGAAATCTGGAGAGGGACTTCCTACATGGGCATATAGTGACAGGATGAGGGAAAATGGCTTTCATCTTAAAGAGGGTAGGTTTAGATAAGATATAAGGAAGAAATTCTTTACTAGAAGGGTGGTGAAGCCCTGACAGAGGTTGCCCAGAGAAGCTGTGGCTGCCCCATCCCTGGCAGTGTCCAAGGCCAGGTTGGACAGGACTTGGAGCAACTAGTGGAAGGTGTCCCTGCCCATGGCAGGGGGTTGGAACCAGATGAGCTTTAAGGTCCCTTCCAACCCCAACCATTCTATGATTCTATACACGATGCTCAGCAACGCCAACTGAACCAGTACTTCATGGAAAGCAATTTTCTCTTCTCCTCCCTGTCCATTTCCATTTTGTGTGAAGTAAAGGTTTTCTGGCGGCTAAAATGCAAAGCCAAACTCAGCCAAAACTAGCCATCTGGCTTCCAAAACACCTGTTGTTCACCACTGTGAGTGGACAGAAAGCAACTTCTTCCAAGGGGCAATCAAGCACAAGCAATTCCCTGGAAATACCCAATCCCTTGTTGGGCAGAATGACACATGAAGCTATGGAAGCTTTACAAAGGCCCAACTTTTAAGCAGGCACGCTGCCTGGCTCTACTTATCTGGTAGGCTGCCATTGACCAGACTCAGCAAGTGATGAGAAGCAACAGGAAGGAAAACAACTCACTCTGAAGTGGATCTTAACTCTATATTCCACTCCTTCCTTTAATACGAAGGTCTCTTTCTTGAGTGTTTCAAGATCACCTGTAAGGAGAGGATCAAGCCATTAGCTAGACATGTCACAGTGGGAAGAAACCACACGCAAGGAGGATGGGGATGGGATTGGTGTCAAAAGCAAGTGTCCCTTCAAGCACAGCACACTTGCAAAATGAGTACTCAGAGGTCTGTGTAAGCAGTTGCCCTGTTGAGCGCACATACACAGAAACGCCTAGGTGTACATATGTATTGACTCTATGAATGTGCACAAGGTAGCAATCTCTGGCACAGTCTTATGCAATGAAAACTGAAGAATCATGAAATGGAAAAGTTCTACCTGCAAAAACTATGTACATATAATTCCGAGACATGACTATCAACAAGGACCATCTTGGACCTCAGCTGAACTTCAGAGCAGCATGTCTTATTTCTATCAAAAGGGAATCATACGCTTATGGGGGACAAAGGCTCATTTGTTAACCAAATGCCAGTTGCATAGAAACACTTGGGAAATAGGATTCTGGTGAATTGGAAAAAGAAACTGGAAAATCTGCATGTTAATTTAATTCCAATGAATGAACAAGCTAGAAAATGGATTCTGAATGGAATGTTGGGATTTTTATTTAATGTTCACCTGAAACCCAGCATGAGCCTCTCAAACCCAGCCCCTCTAATCAGTGGGATATTGAGGTTACACCTGCCTTAGCTGTGTAGTTGAGGTCAGGGCTGTCTTTGGAAGTGAAACTCTAGATTATTCTATTCTATGTGTCTGTGTCCACATCTATGAAGATAATGCCTAAACAAACACAGGTCTGGGCACATATACACAAAGATGTTTACGCACAGACCCACTGATGGGAATCGGCAGAAGCATGTGCATGCTTCACCCATGCCCAGCCCTGGCTTGGGTGACTGAGCATGTTTTACAGCTGCTGCCCAGCTTGTGAGGCTGCCTGGACC